CCCCGGCATCGGCAGGCGGACTCTCAACCACTGCGCCACCAGGGAAGCCCAAGCATCATCTTTTAAACACACACCGGTGGCAGTGGCAACAAGACAGACGTGTGGAAGAAAACGATAATCACAAGCTGTTGCTGGATTTTTATTTGCCGCTCAAAATTATGACCAAAGGGAAAAAATCTTCAGTGATAAGAGCACAGCATCAGGGCAGAGAGGACAGGGGTGGCTGACTCTGCACTCGTTGCCGTATGATCATCATAGGCTTCGAGCTTGACTTCGATGCCAACGAAGAGCCACACCTCCCTGGGAGCCTCCTAGGACTGCTCCACGCCTTCCGAGGGCAATGCTGCAGCGGGGCCGGGCCAGCGCTCCAGGGCCCCGGCGTCTGCAGAAGGGAGGGCCAAGCTCAAGTGCCCGCCTTCTGCAGAGATGCTCACGGCAGCAAACCCAGGATCAGGCACGTGTCACATTCAACTCTCGTACTTAGTATGCATTTGAAATGGTCAGACTCTAAAAAAGTATAATTCCTGTTTGGGCAATGAAAATCAATGTCTCCTAATGAAAGAAGTTCCATGTTACAACATACAAAACAAAACAAAACAAACAAAAAACCCGGAAGAGTCCATCTGCCCCTCACTGGAAAAGTCACCAGCAGATTTTCTCCAGCAGAGATTTCCCTAAAGCCTGCACTGGGCTCAAACAGAGCGGATCGGTTACTTGGTCCTGAGGTGTCTAAGTGCTTCTCCCACAGTCCCCCTGCCCATGGATGGTTCCAAGGAAAAGCCACAGGGCTTAAGTATCCTCCCCCCACTCCTTCCCCCCCCCACGCCCACCTGAAGTCCCTCAACTAAGGCAGTGGAGCCTGAGAGCAAATGGATCAAAACGGAACCCAAGAATTAGTCTTCGCTCTTCCAACTAGACAACAAAACTGTGATGTGCAGAACCTCACCACCCGAAGTCTCCCTTGGAGCATCAAAGTGGCCCACGTCCCACTGTGTCCCCAGGCCACCTCCCTGTGGTGAACTCCGAGCCCCTTCCACAGGGGCAGCTTTGACCCTCACAGTGGCATGAATGACAGCCCTGAGGCACAGAAGTGCTGGGGCTGAATGCTTCACAAAAAGGCCCCCGTCGGCTGTACTAGATGCCAGGATGGAGAGCTGTCGGGGTTACACGCAGCCAGCCCCACTGGAGGCTGCGCAGGGTGAAAGGGCAATCTGGGCCGCGGGCTCCTTTCACTCGCCGCGCTCCCAAGATACGGTTTAAGGTGGTCTACGGAGAGCCTGACTGTGTGTAGTAACTAGGCCCCGGAAGGTACAGCCGCTGTTACCATGTTCAAGAAATGTGGGTCCAGCAGAATGAATGAACCAGGCCCCTTTGCAGCTGGTTCCCATGCCCCCGCCTGTAACCCCACCCACCAGCGTGACTGTCGGTGTGTAGGTGGACCATGGTTCCTTCCCAGGAGAAGTCTGTGGAGTCCCTTCTTGACAGGTTTTTTTATGTGCACAGGCTTCTAAGAGGTGGCATTTTATGTTGGTAATATTTCACATACCTTTGAGCTGCAAGAAAGTCAGAAACTCGATTATCATGCGCACAACATTGTTCTCCAACAGCCGCCTGTCAGCGCTTCCTAGAAACCAGAGGGCGTCAGCGTTGACGGCCTTGGTGCTTGCCTTAGACCTGGGCACCTGGGGGCATCACCGGCATGCCGCCCCCCCCTCAGAGCCCGGCTCAGCGCAGTGGAGGCCCTGAGCCCCTTGTGGCCGCCCCCGAGCTTTACCCTCAGGGTTGCTGCTCCCATTTCTGGCGGCCGACAGATGGGGCCGGGCTGAGCTCAGGCCCTGCTGTGGGTCAGCAGTGGCAGGGGCCCGATACCGCCACTGCCCTGTGTGCCCTGAGATTAAAGTCCTCTCACCTGGCCTGGCTTCGTCTTCAGACTCGAGTTCCCGCTTGCCCGTGAAGCCATGCTTGTCGTGAAATGATCTGTGGTTGTCAATGGCATCTGTTTGCAAATCAGAGGAAAGCACCTGAGTGTTGCCACTGTAATGAAAGGGCATATGGCTGCTTATAGCCAACACGTAACACGACGGACTGTAAAAACAAAGCCAAGGTAGGGAAACCATGGAAGAGGGAGTTGTTCTCCGTGGAACCTGAGGGAGGAACTCGTGCCAGGGCCAGGGTACAGCTCTTCTCCAGGTGCTGGGGCCCCACGGAACAAGAGGGGAGCCTCCAGTCAAGAGGGGGCAGCACGTGGCCAGCAGAGGGCACCAGCCCCTGGGGCGCAGACCTGGTGCAGGGAGAGGGGAGTGCCAAGGGGGCCCCGGGGGCGGGGGGGGCTGGAGTTTGAGCTGGATGCCTCCCAGGCAGAGGACAGGGGCTGGAGTCCTGCGTCCCTGAAAACGGGGTCATGGGGGGAACCACAGGATTTGCAGTTCTGATGTGATCAGAATTTTATTTCTCAAAGATCACTGGCTGCTGTGTGGGAGACAGACTAAGCCGGGGAGAGAGATACAGACAGAGACAGAAGGAAGGAGGGGAGAGAAAGAAGGAGGTTGAGTGTGTGTGTGTGAGTGTGTGAGTGTGTGTGTGTGAGTGTGTGAGTGTGTGTGTGTGTGTGTGTGTGTGTGTGTGTGTGTGCGCTCGCAGGCCCACACTCTGGGTGGAGTGACATGGGGGAATGGTAACTGCAGTTCCCTGGCGGTCCAGGGGTTAGGATTCTGCGCTTCCACTGCAGGGGCCCAGGTTCGATCCCTTGTCGGGAAATTAAGATCCCACGTGCTGAGCGGCACGGGCAAAAAAGCAAAAACAAAAACAAAAGCATCGGAAAGAAAGAATGAGGGCTCTCCACCAAGTGCCCTGGAATGAAGAGAAGGGCCTGGTAGGGGCCCCTCCGGGCTAAAGGAGGTCTGGCTCGGTCTCTGGCTACCTGGCCTGGTGGACTGTACCACCTCCAAGCCCAGACCAAAGAAAGCGAATTCATTCTTCCAGAGACAGAGGTCTTGGCATTAAATGTGGAGGAATGATAAGCAACCCGGCGCTTCCAAAGGCCACTGGGTGCAGTCGGGCTCAAACCGTCTTCAACGTTTTTATGTTGCCATTTTCTATGCTGACCTGACAACAAGTCAGCAGCACAGTGTGAAGCTGCAGAGAATTCTGACAGACGGCGGCTGGTCTAGACGGACAGCTTCTGGTGATCCAACTGGATCGTGAAAAACGGTGTGTTTTCTAACAGGACTTTTTGGCTGTGCCACAAAGCTTGTGGGATCTTAGCTCCCCGACCAGCGATCGAACCTGGGCCCCAGCAGTGAAAGCGCTGAGTCCTAGCCACTGCACCGCCAGGGAATTCCCTAAATCTTCTTGATAAATACATTCTCAGTATGCCAGAGTCACATGGACAAGTATTTCTGTTGAAGGGCTCCTTCTTTCTTTCGGGCCAGTGGCACACAGAGACGAGGTGCTTTCTCAGGGGAAGAACTCAGGGCTGCCAAGGGTTCAGGAAATCTCATGCCCTTTAAATCAGTCTTTGCCTCCTGCAGGCGAAGGGAGAAGCCCACGTGGGGACCAGCTGCTGCGTTTGATCTGAGACTAAAGATGCCCAGCAGATCCTGCCTGTGGCCCCATTTAGTTTTTGTCATTTCTGTGCCTGTGTTTCTCAAAGCCCGGCTCTCAGGCACCCTCCAGGTGATCAGATAAACGACCGTCTGCAGTAGGAGAAGACTCTGTACTTAAACTTGGGAATGAAGAGCTGAAAGTAGCTCCCCGGGGTCGTTTAAATGGGGACCGTTCTTCCCACGACTCTGGAAGGATTGGGGTATGAGCTGTATATGAGTTGTTTGCCTCGTTTCTGGCAAAGAAAGTAGGAAATAAATAGAGGAGGATTTTTTTTTTTAAGGTTGATGGACGTCCCCAAATCAACCATGCCTGCAAATTTGAAAGCTACGGGTAGGTAGGAGGTTGGATGGCAAGTGAAAGGTCTCCCCTCGCCCCCTCCTTTAGGACAATTAAAATCTGAAGGTGTCACTGCAGACAGAGGACGTGGAGAGAGAGCAGACAGTGGGGGCTGAGTGGGCGAGGGGAGGCCGCAGTGGCCGTAGCCTGCAGTGCCCAGAGCTGTCCCCTTTAGCGCTGGAGGCGTGGCCTGTCTGCACACACCCACTCCCCCGTTGCCTGCCACCTTCTGCGCCCACTTAGGAATTCCACAGCAGCGAGCTGGTCTCTGAGCCCCGAGCTCGGTGTGCTTCCCTGTAAATGCAGCAGTCGAACAGGGGGTCTCTGAAGGCCCCAGCTGCCCTAGAGTCACTGGATTCTCTGCATCATGAACGTAATCAAATTACTCCCACCGAGTCCAGACCATGTCACATCAAGGACAAGACACCAAGTATCAGTCACCCTGCAGGACAGCTCCAGGGACAGATTTGGAGCAGGAAGAGGACCTTCTGCATTTAGTTTTGGGGTGAGCATGTTTTGGCTTCTCCAGGTCACCTGTGAATTCCTATCCCAGGCTTAGGCTCACGGAAGATGGAGATAAGGCTGGGGTCAGTTGACCTGGGGGTGCTCTGTGAAGCCAAGGAGTGGATGGGAACGTTTAGGGAGACACAGAGGGACCCAAGAGAGGGCCCAGAACAGAGACCCAAGAGATGTCTGCCTTCCAAGACGGTCACCTGGGAAAGCCTGAGCAAAGTCCGAGGCTAGGAATCCCATGGGGTGCAGGGCAGGAGAGCCAGAGGAAGGAGAGGCTTCCGGAGGTATCAGGCCTGGGCCAATGTGCCGAGCAGTTGAGACTGGCCAGGCCGAGGAATGGGGGTAAAAAGGGGGAAGGGTGCAGAGAAGGCTGGAGAGGGCCCTGAGGGTCTGCCAAGCTGCAGGCTGCAGGATGGGTCAGGGTTCAAGAAAGAGCGAGGTGCCCCAAGGCTGGGGGTGGGGGGACAAGTGGGGAGGAGACAGAATTGGGACATCCGGGGGGCTGCCTTTCAGGGAATCAGTTAAACCTACAGAGAAACCATCCTGCCTCGAAGTCTCATGGAAGACTCCCCTGTTGCCCTTTATCAGACTCAAACTGGAATATCAAGGTATCAGAACGATGACTGGCTACCCCCATATTTCAGAAACAGCAGGATGAGCACAAGTGCCACAGCCAGCACTAGAAGAGCAGGTTCGGTGTCGGGAGGCCATGCACCTGCATCACTTACGTGGTCCAAGAAGGTAGCCAGCACTGTTCAGGGTCCAGCCTCTCTTTTCCTTCACCTTAAATGGGAGAAAGGGGGTCAGATGGCAAGAATCGTGCCTGGTACCGGCTGCGCTGGCTCAAAGAAGTCCCAAAGGCCGCTCCTGCTTGTATAACCCACCATGGCAGCCTGTGAGGTTCTTTACTTCAAATAATCACAGAACCTAAATTGCAAACACACTTTAGTTACTCTTTCATATACTAAACCAAGAGTTGCAAACTGTTAAAGCAAGAGCTTTAAATGAAATGAGAAGGACATTAAGTGAAATTCACTCAGACCTTCCAGGCATGATACAGGACTTAGAATAATGCATGTACTTTTGGAAGCTGCAGGAAATTCCAGATTTGCAGATAAGCTATATTTGACATGAAAATAGGACTACTTGCTTTATCAAACACTTCCTTTAGCGCCGTAGACCACAGACTCAGAGTGCACCCACTCGCTTTTAAGTGATGCTGATAACACCAGCTCGCACACGGTGTACTGACGCTCTACCGAACTGAATGGAATGAGATTTGCTTCTCACTCGTCCGAGGCGCTAACCTCAAGTACAGCAGTGTCCATGTTTAGTGGTCGATAGCCAGGGGCTGTTACACACTGGGAGAGGCGAGGTGCCAGGAGGAAACGAGGGAGCCTCTGAGCAGAAACCGCCGCCCTCCGCCCAGCCCCCTCTGGTCTGCTCGCAGGAGCCGGGCCCCTCCCTGCGCAGCTCCCCGCGGCAGGGACCCCCTCACCCCCCGCCCGCCCGGAGGCAGAACTGATGGCACGAGGCACCCACCCTCCCCCGAGGGTCTGGTTCTGATGCGGTTGCCCCCCTTTGCAGAGAAGGGGACCCGCTTGGGGAGCGTTTGCTCCCCAGCCTGCACTTACCGGCGACCCGAGCCCCAAGGTGGCTGAAAGGGCCGCGGCGAGGAGCAGCGAGGCGAGCAGGAGGGCGCAGCCTCTAGGCATCTGCAAGGGAAGGCGGGAGATGGGGGACGGCGCGGGAAGGCCGGTCTCGGTCCCCAGGGCTCACGTCGGGCGGAGGCTCGGACCCCCGCCTCTGCGGGTGCGGGAAGGGCGGCCAGGAGCCGAGGTGCCGAGGACCGAGAGCCCGGGCAAGGGGCAGAGGAGCCGCGCCGGCCCCAGGGAAGGTCCACCCGTAGGCGGGCCCTCCGGAGAGGGGACGGCGGAGAAAGGGGGTCCGCCTCCCGCTGGGGTCCCCGGGGGCGCGGTACCTTGGGCGGCGGGGCCCGGGGGATCTGCAGGTCCTGGGGCGTCAGCGGGTCCGGGGATGTCGGCGGGGCCGCGCGTCCGTCGAGTCGGGTAGAGTAGGGTAGGGCAGGGGGCTCTCACCGCGTGGCGCGGCCCCGGAGACACTGAGGCGGGAAGCTCACGGCGGCCGGGCTCCCTCGACGTGTCAGCGCCCGGAGCCGCCGCCACCGCGATTTATGCGGCGCGTCCGGGGCCGCTCCGCCGCGTCACGGGCTCGGTTCCCGCCCCCCGCGCCCTCGCCGGCCCGAGTGGGCGGGAGGGACCGGAACTCGGTTCCCAAGGGGCGCTCGGAGCGCCTGCGGGAGGGCGGGGACGGCGGAGATCCCCCCCCGCACCCCGCGCGAGAGCCCCCCGACCCGGCTGTTAGCGGCCCTGGGGCAGGAAGCCCCCCACCCCGGCACCGCGTCCCGTGCCGCCAGCGGGCCCTCCGCAGCCAGAGACCCTCAATCCGAGCTGGGTGGGTCGCGGGGTCCTGGGCCCCCGGGGTACCCCCCTCGCACGCTTTTGCAGCGGCTGGATGGCGGGTTCAGCCTCAGAGCCATCCATGGGGGGAGGACGGGAGGCCAAAGCTCGCCCAGCTTCCCTGCCTCCCGGTCGGCACCCAGTGGTCCTCGGGGTCCCAGACCCCGTCCTGTTTTTCTAAAAGGGGACAACTCAGCTAGGGGGGCACTTAGGCTGTCAGTTCCTGGGGGCTGACTGGCTCCCCCGCCTCAGAGCTGTGGGCCCTCCTTACGTCCCTCAGGCGCTGCTGGGCCAGAAGGGGTCCCTGCAGACGTTCCCTTCATGGAACAAATATGGGTCCTCTAAGCTGACACGGTCTGTCACCAAGACACCCACTGTCGCTGCTTCTCCCTCAGTCTGGGTGAGGGGATTCTGTACAAATCCTGGGTGTGGCCCCTGACCCTGGCCAGGGAGAGTTAGGTGGGCACCAGAAGCCTGCAGACCCAGCAAGGCAGAAGCGAGGAGGGATGCTGTGACTTCCCAGGGCCAGCAGAGGCATTCAGACAAAGGAGGGTGGCACCCCCGGATAGCAGGCGCCTGCCTCCCGGCACAGGCTGTGCTGAGACCCACGGCCAGCGTTATAATGGGCTCTGTGCACTCAGCAGTGACCCAGTGAGACACTGTCACCTTGTCATCTTGAAGACAGCCCAGTGTGAGGCAGATAAAATGGGTCACCATTAGAGTAATGGAAATCAAACAGAAAGCATAATTTTATCCTTGCTTTCTGAGCTGGCCCATCTTCCCTTAGAGGCCCTGTTCACCACCAAACACCAACCTGGGCCTGGTAAGCAGGAAGAGCGAGTCCAGAGAAAACCGAGGCCACAGTCCAGCATGGGCTCATCCACGTGTCCCCGGAGAGGTGTTGCTTCCCCCGGCACCGCACGGGGACTGCGGCAGCAGACGGAAATCACAGTCTAGTGGAGACCTGAATGCACAAAAACAGTTGTAGAAATAACCACTCCATTATCATGAGAAGGAGGTACATGTATTCAGGGAGCTTGACCTGAAAGGTGAGCAAGATCGGCCAGGTGGGGCCCAGCACATTCCAGGTGAAAGGGATCACACAGGTAGGCCCCCGTTTTGGTCCTTTTCCCTTCCTCCTTCCTCCTGCCTGGAATGTGGATGCAAGGGCTGGAGCTGAACAGCCATTTTGGGCCACAAGGTGATGACTTTGGATGACAGCAAGACTGAAGGAACCTGGGTCCCTGGGCTTCCGACCTCCAGGCTTGTTTCACAACAGAGAGAAATAAACCTTTCTTTTACTTAAGCCAAATGTTGTTTGGAGGGTTTCTATTATATGTAGTTGGAATGACTCCTCACTAATAAACGGTGTCTCACACAAAACAGTCGACAAATATTTGATGAATGAATTAATGAAGACAAATGAGTAAAGGGATGCACACCTCCAGTGCTGGTTAGGAGCTAATGGTGGTGAGGTGGGCTCATAAAAGGAGGAGGCTTAGAAGAGAGGATGACAAAGGGACACTGCCTACTGATCCTATGGTGATCTCATTACTAGTGAAGAAATGAGGAAATGTCTTGACCATCTAACCTTGGCTTTCATTTGACTCCACAAATGCTGCATCCTTGATCCTGCCCTTCCATGGGTTCTAGCTGCTAACCCCAGCCCTACCCGCGCCACCCACCCCAGTAGCTCAGTCGTCATGAAAAAAAATCCCAGTTGCTCCCTAACGATAGTAGCTTGTTAAGGATCTGGCCAAAGTGAAGGCTGATCTAATTCTATGAATGGTCTTTTGAGTGTATGTATTCAGCTCATCGATATGTCTTCGTTAAAGGATTCATGATACGTGTGAAGATTTGTTTACTTTGTCCATAGGAACAGCGGGTGTTTTTAGTAAGGGTGTGAGCTGAGGAGAAGGGAGAGATGATCGAGAAGAGGGGTTAGCAGTCTGGGGACTTTGGCTGAGAGGATCCCCGCCTCCCTTTCCCAGTCCTCGGGGGACCCCTCCTCCCACTGGCGGGACCAGCTGCAGTGGAAGCTGCAAAGTGAGGTCTGTAATCGTGTGCGGTGCTGGTGCCCCACTGAAATCAGGGTTCTGAGCCAGAGGAAGGAAGATTGGCTGCTGGGCCTTGCAATCAGCAGGCTGGTCCTCAGGCAGGGCCCCAAGGCAACTGTTTTCAGGGTTGCACACTTTTGTAAGATTTGAAATAAGCTATAAGCACAGTCAGTCCAGACCTGCGTCTTTCTACATCCCTCCCCAGCCGGGATTATCCTCGTGGAAGGTGGTGCTGGGGAGGCCCCAGGCATTTCCGGTTCTCAGGGGAGGTTGGAATGGGGATGCATTTAGCTGGACTTCGGGTGGGAGGGAAGATTTACCTGGTTCGTGGTGGGTGTGTTTACAGTGGGGTGGATCTATCTCACGTACATTTACAGTTGAGGTGAGGCCAGCCCTCGCAGGGTGGGAATGGCTTCCAGGAACACCCCCTGCCCACAGTGCCCATGCCCAGGCATCGAGGTCCACCCTGCAGAGTTGCTGGCACATCTCTGAAAGCTGGGAGCTGGGGCTGGAATAAGCCTGGGGTCACTGGAGGAAAAGAGAGAGACTGCAGTTCTAAAGGCGCTCAGGCAGCTCTTGATCAGCAGCCACCCTCCGCCAGTGTCTCCACCAGTGTTTTCGCCAGTGTCTTGGGGGACGTCAGGGCCTCTCATCAGGCCCACAACCCCACACCAGCAGCACCTCCCGCCCCCAGCACTGCTCCTGGGCAAGCTCAACTCTTGGGTGAGTGGAGAGGGGGCATGGTGTTTTCCGGGTGGTCCAGCTTTGCTCATCTGGCAAGCCCGGGGCTCTTTGGTTTGAGCCATCCTTGCCTGCCACCTGCGCCTCCTGCCCTGCCTGTGGGGAACCTTCCTCTTCCCTAAGCCCACCCTCAGCATCTTCTTTCCCCCAACTCCCCACTGCCCTGAGCTCTGGGCCAGGAAGTCTCCTCTCCCCAGCCCCGCCCCCTCCCCCTGCTGCCTCCCACCTAGGTCCTCC